TTGAGTTACTTCCTGGAATCACACACTAGTGAGAAACCTAAGTCTTACTAAAGTTTACACTTTTCATCAACAATATTTAAACTAAAGATATTTCAAGGCTTTAAAATAAGGTTCTGAAAGACTAAGTTGTTATAGTGAAAACCTGAAGAATGCTACAGAAAAGTAAACCATCATTCCACAAATAAACTTAAGTGATCTGAGTAAAAATGAAGCACTGCCTTTAGGCTAATGCTAGTGCTAGAAACAGCTTATTAATTATTGTGATCTCTAATTCTTTTAAGGAACAAAACAATTTTGAAATAAGTTTTAGAAATTCCCACCAGAATTTGGTAAGTTGATGATCAAATGTTCACCAAACTCCCACTAGGTACTATGTACTTACTGTTAGGTACCAGGATACAGAGATCAATAAGAAACAGCTCTCCCTCTAAAAATATTCAGTGGTACTGGTGGGGACATGGGTGCGGTGCCAGACCACACATAATATAATGTGGAAGGTGCAATACTGAGTGAGATGCTGGGTATTATGGAAGAGTGGGGAAGGGTCCCTACTCTAGCTGTGGGTGGTAGGAAGGTTTACTGGAAGAAACGAACAGAGCTGGCCAGCTGAAGGGGCTGGCTGCTCACTCCAGGTGGCGAGTGGAGCCCTGGGCACAGCGCAGATGAGTATGGAGTGGGAGGCAGGGATCGGGCACTGGTAAAACTGGTGAAGTAGACAGGGACCAGATTATGAAGAAATTTAAACCAGCAAAGGTTTTAAGTAGGCAAATGACATGCTCAGAATGGTCCTATAACTAAACTCATTAGAGCAGCGTGGAGTATGGACTTGAAGCCACACAGCCATATGTTCAACTCCTGGCTCTACCTGGCTCTAGGACTTAGCGCTGTGTGAACTTTGGCAAGACACGATACATTTCTTCTTCTTTTTTAAACTGACAAAATACATATACATACACATACTCTTATGGTATACAACGTGATGTTATGAAATGTGAATATACTGTGGAGTGACTAAATAAAGCTAATTAACATATGCATCACCTCACACATTTATTTGTAGTAAGAACAAAGACAGGAAACCGTCTAAGCCTCAGACTCAGCTGGAAAATGGGAAATAAATGAAACAACGAACGCGAAGCACTAGAATTATTATTATTGCTATGAGCCTAAAAGTTCAGGAAGACACATGGGAGTCCAGATGAGACATACTGAGGTCCCAAGCAGGGATGAAGAAACAAGACAACCTGAAAGACATTTAGGAAACCAAACTGACAAAACCTGACAACTGTCTGGCTACAGGAATGCCGGTGAGAGAGGGGGAGACACCATCGACAAGCTCTCGTCTAGAATGAATGACTGAATGGCTGGTGGCTGGCAGCAGCCATGACAGACAGAATAGGGAGGCAGAACGAGTCTGGGAGTGTGGGTCATGCTGAGGAGGTACCTGTGTGCACCCAGGAGCAGATGTCCAGGAAATCAGTGGACAGGGCTGGAGTCTGGGATGCAGGTGTGGCTTGGAATTGGAAAAGTGTGTGTATCTCATGCCATGGGAAGAGATCACCCACAGAAGGTACGCTCAGTCAGAAGGGCAATGAGCTAAGACAGAACTCCAGAAACACCCACGATTAAGGGACAAAGAAATAAAGAAAAGCATCCAAAGAAAGAAAAGGACTGTAGCGGACAGGGTATACCAGGAAGGCTCAGTACAATGAAGGCAGAAAGAGCAGGATTTCCAGGAGGGAGTCATCAGCGGTGCCCCATGCAGCTAAGTCCAGGAACTTCCAACAGTGTCCTCAGAATCCAGTAGACATTATTGCAGACTTTAAACCAGAGGGTGATTTTTGTAGAACAAGGGGAACAGAAGCCCGACTGCAGGGTTCCGGTATCAATGGGCATGAGGAAGTAGAAAGAGCCTACAATAAATCTGGGAAAAGGAATGGAGAACAATTATATAGTAATATAAGGGAAATACAGGGGAAAAGGTCAGGTTAAAAGATTTTTAAGATGGACCTCTGAGCATTTCGTGAGGTGAGAAGGAAAAGGCAGATAGCACAGGGAGATGAGGCAGGAGCGAGAGAAGCACCAACAAAACAAGGGCCTTGGGGTTGTAAGAAGGACCTCACTGCTGTCTCTGGGGATGCAGAGGCGATTTAAACACAATCTGCCCTTAAGGAGCTGGAAGTCTGAGGGGGAAGCAAACCTACCAACCCTCTGAGCAGAGTGGGATGTGCAAACCAGTCCTCAGGATGCGCTATATCAGAGGAACTCAGGGGGTGCCCATCTGACTGTGGATTTCCTGGACCTAAGTCTGAGCCTCTTCACCTCTCTACTCCAGCGCCCAACAGCATCTGATATGCACACGTGCTAGGCATTCAGTAATTTTCTTTGTGTGGATGAAAAAATACACTTGTCAGAAACTTTATTTGCAGGATTAGAGAAATTTTATAGACATATAAGCATATATTTTAAGGCAGATAAAGTCATTTAGGGTATGAAAATAAAACTAACATTAACTAAAATCACAGTACATATGCACAGTGCTGTAGCCTGAATATCTGTGTGCCTCCAAAATTCCTATGTTGAAACCTAATCCCCAGTGCAATAGTATTAAGTGGTGTGGTCTTCAAGAGGCAATTAGATCATGAGGGGTCTCATGAATGGGGTTAGTGCCCTTATAAAAAGCCCAGAGGAGCTCACTTGCCCCTTCCACCATGCAGACGCAGCAAGAAGCTACTGTCTATGAAGAACAGGACCTCACCAGACACAGAATCTCTCAGCATCACCTTCATCTTGGAATTCTCAGCCTCTCGAAGTGTGAAAAATAAATGTTTGTTATAAAATTTATAAGCTACCCAATTTATGGTATTTTGTTACAGCAGCCAGAACCAGCTAAGATACTTCAAAAGGATGCATCTGAGAGCTTTATTCAGAGGCAGCTGAAGGTTAAGAGAGTGGGGAAGAATGAGACAGGATTCAGTCATGTGAGAAGGCCTGAGTGGTTTCAGAACTCTCTCTGGCCAAATATATCCCCCCAGTCTGCTAGGTTGTGCTTAAGATTTACTTAACCAATTATGAAAGGATACAATTTTTTGTTTCAAAATTACAAAGGACTAAAAAGAAAATGTGTGTAAGACTGAACAAAAGTTAAAATCTTTTCATCATAAAATGAAATTGGGCAGATGTCAGACTGACCTGTCTCCAAATGAGCTTCCCCGTTTACCAGCTGTATGACCTAGGCCAGGGCACCTACTCTTCTCTGGGAAAATAGATCATGGGACAGATGAGCCCCTAATACCCTTTCAAATCTATTATTCAAAGGTTCTAAAGCAGTGTTTCTTAGCCTTTTGGGAATCACAAACTCCTCAGAGAATCTAACTAAAGCTATGAATCCTCTCCCTACCCCCGCTCCCCCACCAATAAACATAGAATCACACATATAAAATTTTGCACATCATTTGAGGGGTTCCCTGAACTCCCATGATCCCAGGTAAGAAGTGAGAAACTAGCAGAGATGCAATTCTTTATTTCTTTTTCTTTTAAACACAGACTCACTCTGTTGCTCAGGCTAAAATGCAACTGTGTGACCATGGCTCACTGAAGCTTCAACCTCCCGGGCTCAAGCCATCCTTCTACCTCAACCTCCTGAGTAGCTGGGAGCACGGGTACGCACCATCACACCTGGCTCCTTTTTTATTTCTTGTAGAGATGGGTTCTCCCTGGGTTGCCCAGGCTGGTCTCGAACTCCGAGTCCTAAGTGATCCTCCTGCCTCAGCATCCCAAGGTGCTGGTATTATAGGCATAAGCCACTACACCAGCCCCAAGGTGCAATTCTTTGTAATAAAATTCTTGGCCAGGTGTGATGACTCGTGTGTAATCCCAGCACTTTGGAAGGCCAAGGTAGGTGGATCACTTGGGGCCAGGAGTTTGAGACCAGTCTGGCCAACATGGTAAAACCTCATCTCTACTAAAAATTCAAACATTAGTCAGGCATAGTGGTGCAGGCCTGTAATCCTGGCTACTCGGGAAGCTGAACTATGATCACACCAGTGCACTCCAGCATGGGACCCTGTCCCTAAAACAACACAAAAAGAAGGTAATGAAGCCAGATACCATAGTGACCTCTGCTAAAACCACAGTGGATAGTTTGCTGTTTTCTACCTGCATGCCCATCTGAATGGTAAGACTCCCTGAATATAGCAAGTACCCGCTTTAGTTGTGGATTAAATTGATGGGGCTATAACGGTGTGGATTTATAGTTCTCAAGTCTTTAGACCTTCAGGGCTTTCTGAATAAGTATTAACTTCAAATCCTCCTGGTGACAGACAAACTTGGAGTGCACAGCAATCACTCTGGGCTTGCTCTATGGGGTCTATCAACTTTCCAATACCGGTTTTTATTCAATTAGAGGGGTCTAGCCACCCCAAACTAGACATTATGCCTCTATTCCACGGCAAAATTTGATGATTCATCCCACCCCACAAAAAGAAAACATATTGTATCTGCTTTTAGTAGAAATCCCCTACATTTGTATAACCCTTTATACTTAGTACTTTTCTAATCCCTCTCACATACACATAATATTCACCTGGGAGGTAGGCAATACATGCAGTCTTCCAATTTTAAAGATAAGGAGAGAGAATTATACCACTGAATTGATTTCAGAGAGGGCTTTTCAACATAGCCCAGCATCAGAACTCCAGCCACATTTTTATAAACGTGCTAATGTTTCTATTACCCTCGTACTGAGAAGGTGGGAGACATCTCTTTCAAATTAACAGAATAGCTGTGACCTTTAATAAAGTGTTCAGCCGTAACATCCTAAATAGTACCTATGATTTCAGAAACTGAAAGCCACTCTAATTACAGCATTTTCACACATGATGATTAAATCATTTAGTTTTTTTCAATATTCAACAGAAATTAATAAAGCCTCTCATCTATGACTCTTTAAACAAGCAGAATCCAGCTTCCATAGTGGGTAGGGCAGAATCCATACTTACCTATAGCACAATGTAAAACCTAGAGGAAGGGAGGGAAAAGAGGAGAATTAGTTAAAATCAATAGCATTAAAGTTTTACTTCATATAAACTAATGTTTCAGTTAAGAATAGAGTAGCATCTGCCAGTAGTATTATGAAAACGAACATTCCACTTTTAAACTTGGCTATAGGCTACTCAACAAAATGTAAATTCTTGCTCCATTTTGTTTGTTCATTTTTAGTTTGTGTATCTTTGAAGGATTTTCTGAGGAAGATTTAATCTTCCCACTCAGTGGCTTATCAGACAATAAGGGCTCTTTTATAATGCACAAACGTGTAAGAGTAGTAAGTGTACAGCATCTCCATGTCCCATACGCTACAGAACGGAACCGCCACGGCCTCTGGAACATGGGGTGAGAGAGCCTCGGTTGGCTCTCCTTGCCTGGCAGGCCCTTCAACACAGACATTCATTTTACTAAGTTGCACCCTCAGTCCCCATCTTGCCTCATTCAATGATCTCACTGCAGGGGTGCTCCCTAGTCCAATCCAACGCTCTCTCCTGGGGATCTGGGCCCACACCCCAAGCTGCCTCTGGACAGCTCCACCTGAGAGTTACAGCAGTGGCTCGAACACAGCCTCAATGGGAAGCACACACTTTTGCGATGCCTCTTGATAACCAACCTCCTAGTCTTTGGGGTTCAACAGTCCTTCCTTCCCCTTATCCTCAAATAAAACCAGTTTCTAAGTCCTGCTGATGACTCTGGGGTCTGTCGTCTCTATTTTTATTTCCAGTGCCCTGAGTGAGACTGCCATCTCCAACCCATCTCAATGGCCATCCAACTGGCAAATCAGGTCCTTCTAAATCACCTTTCAACTCATCCTTTATATAGCAGTGCTTTAGCTCTGGTGGTGGTAATGGTGACAGAAAGTAATTTGAAGCCATTTATAAGATTGATTTAATCACCAAAGCTTTTCTAGATGATATAACCTAATAGCTATTGTAGGGCATTTCAGAATTTTTACATTTCTGTAGCAGTCTGTATATTGTTTGATCCTAACGATTACCTAGCAGATAGGCAGGACGGAAAATCTCTACTTGCAGACAAGAAAACCAAGGCTCAGAGAAGCTGCACACCTTGCGCAGGGCAGTAAATGATGGCCAGGATCAAGAATTTAGGTTTTATTTCTATTCTATCGTATTCTTTCATTGTTCATTAGTTATGAGAGCTCTACAGAGACCAGAACTTGACAAGACTTAGCTTATCTAAAACATGCCTGAGCCTGATAAGACTGTGCTCAAAAACTACTATTTCACTCAGTTTTGGGGGGAGGGAAGTGGGAGGGTTGGATTAAAAAAACAAACCAAGCTGCACAATGTTGCTGATAACTGACAGGAGAACAAAATTAACACATTGCAAATCTTACAATATTTTTCAAAAGAAAACACTGCTAAGTAAATACTAAATTGTAAATATGATAAGCTACACTTCCTGCTGCAAAGTTGAGGAAAACTAAAAGACAGATCTAGATTAAAATGGGGAATGAAAAACATTCTTTGAAACAAGAAGACAGATGACAGTACCTAAACAGAAACCTGTTTTTTTTTTTTTTTTTTTTTTTTGGACACGGGGTCTTGCTGTCACTCAGGCTCGAGTGCAGTGGTACAATTACAACTCCCTGCAGCCTCATCCCCCTCAGACTCAAGCGATCCTCCCACCTCAGCCTCCTGAGTAGCTGGGACTTTAGGCATGTGCCACTATGCCTGGCTAATATTTGTATTTTTTGTACAGACAGGTTTCGCCATATTGCTCAGGCAGGTCTTGAACTCCTGGACTCAAGTGATCCACCTGCCCTGGCCTTCCAAAATGCTGGGATTACAGGCATGAGCCACTGCATCTGGCCCAGAAAATCTATTCTATCCATGTATGCAGCAAGACACCCAGGCTGGCTGGCTGTGGTGACTCACGCCTATAATCCCAGCACTTTGGGAGGCCGAGGATGGCAGATCACCTGAGGTCAAAAGTTTGAGAACAGCCTGGCCAACATGGTGAAACTCTGTCTCTACTAAAAATATAAAAAATGAGTTGGGCGTGGTGGCACATGCGTATATGGCACTTGGGAGGCTGAGGCAGGAGAATTGCTTGAACCTAGGAGACAGAGGTTGCAGTAACCCACGGCACTCCAGCATGGGTGACAGGGCAAGACTCCATCTCAAAAAAAAAAAAAAAAAGACATCCAGGCTGCTGATTAGCAATGGGACACTGCAGGGGAGTAAACGCAGCAAAGAATGGCTAGCATGCTGTCTTTGCATGACAGAGCACTAGGTCTCAGTCCTCAGATGCAGGCTCCCCTTTTTAATCACACACATTTTATAATGCCTCCTCTACCATTCTGAAAAGAAATTCATACATCAAATGACCTACCTACACAAAATTTTCAAAAGCAAATAAATACAATGTCCCAATTGATATGAAAAAGAAGAAATAAAAGAAAGTAATTTATTTTTCAAAATATGCATTTCAACTTGTAAATGTGGACATAATGATGCAGTCAGATGTAGACAGTAACTTACAGTAAATAATTTTGGAATGAAAAATAAGAATATCAGAAACCACTGCGGACAAATATATGAAAATAAAAGGGCAGATGTAGAGGTACAGATTAATACTTGGGGAAAAAAAGAGTATTAAGATAATAATGGAAATAAAGAAGTAACCTTATCTGAACTTGGAATAATATGCTAAAGTAATTAACAATCAAAGTAGATTGTTAATTACTACTACAATCCATCCCAGAAGGCAAAAGATCCATCCTTCTGCCTTGAAATCCTGTTGAGACAGACAATCAGTGCCAATCTGTAAAAAGACCTTGAAAATGCATTCCTTAAATGGTGCAATAAGGAATAGAGGAGGAATTAGATGTAAAAAACTCTAATGCAAGAAGCAATAAAGCCATTGTGTAACAGAGGATACTTTCAGGACAAAACAGAAGACGAGCTACCCCAAAGCCAAATTTTCATTTCACAACCTAGATTTCCTATCATCACACACAGGCAATAATATGAAATATTAGTCTATGTTAAAGAAATCCACTGCATTTCATGTGTCTCCATTAATTTAATAATTGAAGTTTAAACAGTCATCTCAAAACTGATTTTCAATGATTTTCACTGCTGTGCTGAAATCCTTTTCAAGTAAATATGCAAGCTATTAATGTTGTAATACTTACAGAACAGGATGTGCAGAGATAACAAATTACTTAATTATTTTGAGACAATAATTTCACTCAAGCTTCTCTCTTCATACCAACAATGGTAGTAGGACAGCATTCTCAAGATGATCCTCCACAATTACTGTTCCTTGGCTACTCAATCAAACACTAATCTAGATACTGCAGTATAGGGATTTTGCAAGTGTAATTAAAGTCTCAAGTCAATTGATTTGAAGATACAGGTATTTTGTGGGTGGACCTGACCCAACCGGATGAGCCCTTTAAAAGCAGTCTCTTCTGGGTGGTGGCAGAAGGGGAAGTCAGATACTCAAAGAACAAGAGGGATTCGGCAGGCCACTCTGGCTTTGAAGCTGCAGTGGGGGTCATGTGCAAGGCCTGGAGAGCAGCCTCTAGAGTTGAGGAGTGACCTCCTGCTGACAGATAGCAAGGAAGTGTGGATCTCACACCTACAACTAGAGTCAGCCAATAACCTGCATGAGCCTGAAAGTGGATTTTTCCCCTGGAGCCTCCAGATAACAAATCAGCCAGCCTGGCTGACACCTTGATTTCAATCTTATGAGATTCCTGAGCAAAGAACCCAGTCAAGCCCAGCTTCTGAATTAAGAAAACTGTGAGCTAATCCATAAGTGTTGTTTTCAGCTGCCAGGTTCATGGTATTTTTGTTAAGCAGCAACAAAAAACTAAGACCACAACCTTCTTCTAACTTAATAAGCTTTTTGATTTCTCATGAAAGTTTTTCAGCATTAATATGTACTACAAAATGGTCCATTTATATTTGTAGAGGGTCTGGCCTGGGGAGATGTGCAGAAGCCAAGGAGGATGCAGAACAAATCTTCATTAAGTTGGACAGTTTCGCATGTCGTAGGACATCTAGCCAGTAGCATCTCCAGTCATTGTGGCAAATGAAATATCCTCACAATTTTCCAAAATGCACTCTAAGGTTGTGGCACTGCTTTGTTGAGGTCCACTAAGAATCGATGGACAAGAATAAGCACGCCTCATTTTAAAAAAAAAATGGCAAGAGAACTTGCCATATTCAAAATCTCCCTTGAAAATACATGTTGGACCAGGAACAGTGGCTCACGCCTATAATCTCAACACTTTGGGAGGCCAAAGCAGGAGGATCACTTGCGGTCAGGAGTTCAAGACCAGCCTGTGCAACATAGTGATCTCTACAGATCATTATGTAGTAATTAACAATCCATCCCAGAAGGCAAAAGATGCATCCTTCTGCCTTGAAATCCTGTGGAGACATACAATCAGTGCCAATCTGTAAAAAGACCAGTTTTTAACTGTAAAAAGTTAAAAACTAGCCAGGCATGGTGATGTGACTGGAGTCTCAGCTACTTGGAAGGCTGAAGCAGAAGGATCACTTGAGCCCAAGAGGTTGAGGCTGCAAGGAGCTAAAATCATGCCATTGCATTCCATCCTGGGCAACAGAGGAAGACCCTATCTCAAAAAAAGAAAAGAAAATATGCACCATAAACTCCTCTCTCCTGTGTCCTTTCCATTTCCACTGGCAATAAACCAATTTTAGTTTTAAAATTTAACCTCAATGTCAAAATGCCTTTTGTACAATAGGTTACTTGGAAACACCTTTTCAAAGTTTCTAAACTTTGAACTAGGGGAATTATTTTTTTAAGATACCAACAATTCTGTTCAATTTCATTTTTAATCCAAGGCAAAACAATTAACAACAAAGCTCCAAAAAGTTGAACAAGACTCAAAAGGAATAGAAACCCAAGCAGCTTTCAAGACCTCAGCTGCAGCCCATGGACTTAATGTGATTCAGCTATAGTGATTTCCCATC